CCTATGTTATACAGAGGTACAGAATCCAAATTTCCAGGCCATACTAGGCAATCCTAAGCTGAGCAATTAACATACTACTCCTTGACATACAGCAGAAGCTGTAATATTTTCATAACCCAAGGCACAGAGAGTCACACGAAGGGAAAAAGTAAAACATATAAAGAGTTCACTGTTAAAAAGCATACGAGGAAGACCTGAAAGTGAAAGGTAAATCTATATAAGCTGACAGTAGCAATGTCAGAGGGCATGTTTGAAGCAGAGGTAGGGAAACTTCTTAAATGATGCCCCTAAAACCAAAACCACAAACCAAAAAGGGATGAGCTTGTCTACAGAGATATGAAAGGTTTTTGTCAAAGAAACCTCATAGACATGATTAGCAGACATAATGATTGTGATAACATTAGCAAAGTTAAAAGGCAACACAGATTTGATATCAGAATATGTAAGAAACTTCTGCAAATCTTATGGTGAAAAGAATATGAATTCCAAAAGGGGAAAAGGGCAAATGATATAATCGGTAGTTTGAAGGAGAAGCCAAGCTAATTGGCTCACAGGTGGCAATAATGGTCGCTAGATGCCATTATTATTCCTTTTACTAATGGAGAGAGAGAGAGAGAGAGAGAGAGAGATTAAGACTTAAATAGGTAAAATCATTTCTCCTGGGTCTCAACAGTAATATGGCAGAACATAGATTTGAATCAAGGGCATCATGCATGGGTACATAGACTGATTTAGCTTTTCTAGAAGAACACTCATGTAATATTGAAATTTTGTGTGCATATTATCCCCCTATGTCGTTCCCAATGTTCTCCCTTCCGAAATCCAACATGCCATCTCGTCGGTAAAGAAACAAAGAGCACCTGGCCCAGACAAGATCAGACCTGAACACCTGAAGAACTTACCATCAGTACTCATCAATACATTGGCTCGGCTCTTCACACACTACCTGTCTGAATGCAAGGTTCCATCCCAATGGAAAACCAGCAGGACTGTACTACTGTGCAAGAAGGGAGACATCCACGACATTGGCAACTATCGCCCAATCTGCCTATTGTCTGTCATCTACAAACTGTTCACTCGAGTCATCCTGAATAGGATTAGCAGAACACTAGATGAAGGACAACCATGTGTACAAGCTGGATTCCGAAAAGGATTCAGTACCATCGACCATATCCACACGATTACTAAGCTCATTGAGGTTTCTTGGGAGTTCAAGATGCCGCTCTGTCTAACATTCATTGATTTAAAGAAGGCCTTTGATTCTGTTGAGACGGAAGCGGTTATGGAAGCCCTAGCCAATCAGGGCATACAAACTCAATACATCAGGATCCTTCGTGAGCTCTATTGCGGATTCACTACCAAGATCTCACCATTCTACAAAGAAGTAATCATCTATATCAAGAGAGGGGTTCGGCAGGGTGATACCATTTCACCAAAACTCTTCAGTGCCACCCTCGAGAACATCATGCGACGACTGGAATGGGAAAGCATGGGAGTGAAGATAGATGGTCGGTAACTACACCACCTCCGCTTTGCTGATGACATCGTTCTAATAACACCAAACATTAGTCAAGCGGCACAAATGCTGAACGACTTTGACCGTGAATGTGGAAAGGTTGGACTACAGCTGAATCTTACGAAGACAATGTTTATGAGAAACAGCCTTATTCCTGACGCTCCATTCGCTCTCAATGGAACCACCATCTCCGAATGCAACAGTTAATATATACCTAGGTCGAGAAATCAACATGATAAATGACCTGGCACCTGAGTTGCGCAGGAGGAAGAGAGCGGCTTGGAATGCCTTCAAGAGCGTTGAAGAAATAACTAAAAGGACAAAGAACCTCCAGCTACGAGCACATCTCTTTGATTTCACTGTTCTTCCTGCATTAACATATGCCTCAGAGACCTGGACCCTACGAAAACAGGATGAGAACGCTATTCGGGTCTCTCAAAGAGGAATCGAAAGAGCTATGCTTGGAAATCACGATTCACTCAAATGAGGGATAGAATCCGGAGTTCTGATCTTCGTCAACGCTCAAGAATCAGGGACGCTGTCTCATTTGCCAAGACATCAAAAATCAGATGGGCTGGACACGTAATGAGGTTTACAGACAACCGCTGGACTAGAGCCATTACTGATTGGATTCCACGGGATATCAAAAGATCACGTGGACGCCCACCTACAAGATGGTCAGACTTCTTCGTCAAGACCCTGAATGATCGGTTTGAGGCTCTGCATGTTCCTAGAACGAACAGATACCATTGGGCTACGCTAGCACGCAACCGGGATGAATGGAGATGTTACTGGCACCCGCTCGAGTAAATCGATGAATAACGGGGATTAAGTGATTATCCCCCTATGATTTAGGAATTATTCTCCTGAGCACATATGCTAGAAAAATTCTCACTTAGGTTCATAAGTAGAAACATAACTAGAAGGATCTCTAGGGCACTATTCTTGGTAGCAGGGAGATAAGAGAAGTCATTCAGATACCCATCACTAAAAGAATGTAAGGAAAGGTGTAGCAGTGTACTACAGAACACACTGCTTTGGAGAGAAGTTATTAGTTATGTAGACATAAACATGGGTAGATCTTAAATGCCCAATGTTAAGTAGAAACATAATTACCGGGATGAGATCAAGAGCATAATATGATTGATATAAGAACACACAATCAAAAATACTGACTTGGGGTTGGAGCAATAGCACAGCAGGTAGGGTGTTTGCCTGGCACGCAGCAGACCCAGGTTCGATTCCCAGCATCCCATATGGTCCCCCGAGCACTGCCAGGAGAGATTTCTGAGTGCATGAACCAGGAGTAACTCCTGTGCATCGCTGGATGTGACCCAAAAAAGAAAACAAAAATACTGACTTATGTTAGAAAGATCATTAGACAAAGACATTGGAGTAGGTGTCTATGGCAGGGAAGGAACTGGGGGCAGGGACTGGCAGTAAGGAATAAAAATAAAGAAAAACAAGAGGAGCTGGCCAGAAAGATAAAACCTAGAATGTCACAGATGAAAAGGCTCCCTACACTATGCCAAAAGGCAAAAGCCAAAATTTAAAAGACCCATCAGGATGTGTTACCTGATGTAAATTCACACATTGACTAAATAAGTTAGATACAGCTAGAGAGAAAATCAGTGGTACAAAGAGAAAGCTAGGAAAGTTCCACAGAAGATGTCAGAGTGAAAACAAGAATAGCAACACAGAGAACTCCTAGAAAGAGGCTAAAAACATGGGCGAGAGAATGAGGAAGTTGCTCTAACAGGTGCTCCAAATAGAGAAAACTGTGGGAGAAGCAGATTCAAGGTAAATTTTCTAAGAATTACCTAGCATTAAAGACAAACATGAGTCTGTAAATTAAAACCTCAGAGTGTCAACAAAAAGAAAAAATTATAAACAAACTAATAAAATAAACATCACTCGCAGGAAAATGACAATTGGGTTGATAGAGACTTCTGATTAATAACAAGAATGTCAGGGAGAAAATGGAATAGCAGCTCTCAGATACCAGGGAACACAATAAACAATGATATCTATTTCCAGGTTAATCTTCAAACAAAAGACGCAGAGACTGTCACCAAAATATTAATCATGAGGAGGAAATCGATTCACATAGAATGTGAGGGGGTGGGGGGAACCAGCAAAATGCAAGCAAAGAAATAGCTAAATATATCCATCAGAAAAAAATTGAAGTTGTTAAACTTGGGGCTGGAGTGATAGCACAACAGGCAGGGCGCTCGCCTTGTATGTGACCAATCTGGGCTCAAACCCTGGCACCATATAGGGTCCCCCCACAAGCCCTGCAAGGAATGATTCTGAGCACAAAGTCAGGAGTAAGTCTTGAGCACTGCTGTCTGTGGCCCCAAAAAACCAAACCAAAACAAAATCATTAAATGTAAAAAGACTAATAACACTAAATGTTGTAAGGATGTGGAGTGATCAGAGCTACATGGGAGAACTGTGTAGGGATTTCTTATAATTAAAAATAAAACATGCAACAATACAGATAAATCTTTAAAAAGTGCCATCAAAACCAGGCACAAGGAGCTAGCACACTAGCACGGTGGCTTCGGTGTTTGCCTTCCACACGGATGACCTGGGTTTGATCCCCAGCATTGCATACGGTCCTCCAAGCCCCACCAGGAGTGATTCCTGGGTACGAAGCAAAAATAAACAGGCACAAATGTATGTATAATAAATGAAGCAGTTTACAAGAATAGTAATTTTCTATAAACACACGAAACTAATATACAAGAGAGAAGAACCAGATTGTGAGTGTGCAGGTTAAATAGAAAGAGGTACAAGGAACTATCTGGAGACTGAAAATGATCTATATATAATTTGGGGTGGTGATTCAAAAGTAGAGACTTTAAAAAAATTCTTCAAATAGAAGTTCTAATATTGCACTGTATGTGAAGTGATAGCACAGTGGGGTAGGGCGTTTGCCTTGCATGCGGCTGGTCAGCCGACTGAGTTCAATTCCTCCGCCCCTCTTCGGGAGCCCAGCAAGCTACCAAGAGTATCTTGCCCACAAGACAAAGACTGGCAAGCTACCTGTGACATATTCAATATGCCAAACACAGTAACAAGCCTCACAATGTTAGTGGGCCTGCTCTAGCAATTCGATGAACAACGGGAGGATAGTGACAGTGACAGTCCTTTTTTTAACCTCAACAAAAAAAGAAATCAAGAGGGGTCAGAGAGCTATTACCAGGAGTAAGCCCTGAGTACTGTCGGTCACCCCTCCCCATGCCTCCACGCCCCACACACGAGATTAATAAATGTTTTGGTATGCTGAAATGACTAGTTTGAAAATGGGTACAGGAAAAATAGTTAAATGCAAGGTAGAATAACGACAACTAAAATAGCCACAACTTACTACAGGCGTTGCATGTGTCAACTCAAGCTTTTCAACAATCCTATGAATGCATTTTTTATCAACCCCACTTGACAGGTAAGCAAACTGGCATAGCGATGTTATGTAACTTACCCAGGGTCACAAATGTGGGCAGAGAGGAGACCCAAGCTCAGTCTGGCTCTGCGGTGTGTATTCTGAAAACTCCACTGCCTCTCTGAAATTAAAAATCAATGACATGGAAGATGAGTGAAGGCGGGAGTTAGGGTATGCTGAGACTCAAGAGTGTGACAAAATATATGATTAACTCAAGCTTTTGTTAAGTGAAGTATGTAAACCAACAGGGGCGTACATCAGGGAATAGAAACTAAATTAATATTTGCAAATAATAAGTACAGAAAACAATAAAGAGGCTAGAGATGCAGCTCTACTGTAGAGCACATGCTCTGCAGGATGAGGCCTTGGGTTTATCCACAGCACGTGTGCACACACAATAATAAAGAAGGTATGATTAATCTAATTGCAATGGGAAAAGGGAAAAAGGAAAGTTAAAAAAATATGCAGTTAATAGAAATCAAGATGGCAGAAATAAGGCCAGATGCATTAGTTACCGCAATATAGATGAAATTTAACCAGACACTACAGGATTTAAATGTTTTACTATATATATGTTTTTAAATTTTTTATTATAGTTTAAGTAACATGGTTACAATAGTGTTAACATTCATGGCTTTGATATACACAGTCACCACACCTTCCTTACCACCAAAATGCCCACGACCCTCCACCAGTGCCCCTGCATTACTTCTAGTTCACATCCTCCTTCCCTCTGCACTAACTTCCCCCACTGCTTGGTAATCTCAGTTTTGTAAAGATTGGGGCTGTTTTTTGTTTACACACACACACACACACACACACACACTACACGATGCTTCTAAGAGAATCAATGTGTGGGTATGCTTACATTGAAAACAGTGCTTAGCAAGTAGTAAATATTACATGTATTAGTCCTTATTATTGTTACCAAGAGAGGCTATGAATCATCCTCATTAGTGTTCAAACAAGTCATCTGACATGACAGCTTAAGCATCTATCTGCAAACAATTAAACTGCATAATCTTGGTAGATCATTTTCAGGTACAGAATACTGTTATTAAATAAATCCAATATATAATTTTGAGGGCTGCTGAAATATACTCTTGAATGAGGCTAAATGATAGTTTGCTGATCTCACAACTAAAAGTAAAAGCCTCTGACATATGTTTTGTTTGCCCCCAATTCCCTGTGCAAGGAAGTCAAACAGAGGAGAGAGGGTAACACTAGACATGATGCCGTGAAAATGTGCTTTCCGAGTCAAGAAACTATAGTGTAGCACTGCGCATTAGAATCTCTAAGTGAAGTCCTATAGATTCCTGTATAGAGGCAACCTAAATTATGTTATTAAGCATTTACTAAAATTGCAAGGCTTGGGAAAATTGTCAAAGATCCCAAGGGAAGAACATTTAAGCAACAAAAGAGCACCAGAAAGATGGATGCTTCTCAAAGGAACAATATTAAAGCCTCAAGAAAAGACTATACTGATACAGAATAAAGATAGAAAGAAAAAACTTAATTGGCTGAACCAAGTGCTGCATAATGACCCAAAACACAAATGGGAATTCAACACAAAGTGGAATCTAGGCCAGCTTTCTAAAAGGAGCACAAAGAATATTTATTTATTTATTTAAATTTTTATTCTGTCTACTTCCTAAAAGGATTCGAAAGTTTGAGGATTGTTACAATGAAGCACATAGGAAAGGAAGAAGAAGAGGGAGAAGGAGTGAGGGAGAGGAGAGGGAGGGAGAAAGGGGGAGAGAGAGAGAGAGAGAGAGAGAGAGAGAGAGAGAGAGAGAGAAGAGCACTAAGTCAGAGTTGGCAAGAAACATGGGCTCCCTTTAATGAACAAGGAGGAATACAACACTTGGGATAGCCTTGCTATACTCGCTATACACTGATTAATTAAAGTAGATGTTCTGAAACCTACAACTGTTGGCAATGTCATCAGCAAGGCACTCACACACAGCCCTCTGCAACCACTCCTGAAGGCCAGGAGGTTCTTTTCTGTGCCTTGGGGACTGTACCAGCCATTCCCCAACTGATTCTTTTCCCACAAGTCTTCAACCAGCAATGCAGATGTGTCAACCGGCAACTATTTATGGGTCAACTGCATATTATTTACTCAGCACACTGCGAGGTACTGGGTGGGAGCCAAGTGAAATAGAAAACAAGATCCCTTTCCCCTGGGAATTTACCCAAAAAAACAGCAAATACAACAATGGTATGATCAAAATTCTTGGAAAGGTCTAATTCACAAGAGGTAAGAGAGAAACGAAGAAAAGCACAGATGGGAAAACAACAGATAGGTCCCCATGAGGGTCAAAGAAAGGGAAGGGACTGCACCAGGCTCGGAAAAGGCATCCAATAAGTGGCTGCCATCACTGCAAAGACACAGTGTTCGGGTCACTTAAAGAGAAAGGATGGGGGGCAAGGCTACCAACGTGAGGGAGGTCAGAAGATAAACAGAATTAACCCCTGCTTTGGGGGAGGAGGTCTGCAACAGAACAGCACAATTACAACAGCTTTACCAGTGATGGGTGGGATGAGATAGTAAGGAAAAGTGGCTAGCAGTGGGAAGAAGAAAAAGTATCCTACATGAAATGTCTACCAGTAAACACCAGGAGTTCTGTGGCGACCTACCTCTGCCTGGGCTTCTGTACTCCAGTGGCCCAAAGAGGAAAACCATTCTAGTATTTGATCAAAGACCCTCTGTTCTGGTTCCCCTCATGATTCTATGCCTTCTATGATTCTATGCCTTCCTTTGGGCATATCTAGCTCAGGGTCTGAAACAGCTCTACGGGCTAGTTCAATGCTAGTTCGAGTACTTTTGTATTACTGGTGCTACCGATAATCCCATCTCCTGAATAAAATCTTTACTTCAGTCTTAATGCCCGGCTCTGCTGGAACTAGACAGCTGGGAGGGACCTTGAAGAGTCCTATTCATTGCTTTCAGCAAACAGAAGTTCATTACTTTATCTATCACGTACTCTTGTCGCATGACCAAATGACCTTAGCCCAATCTCTTTCCTTTTTTAAGGGAGGAAACTGAGGTCCTGAGAGGCTTAGTTGCTCTTTGATCTGAGTCAGCTTTAACCCCATGGCTATTTAGTATCTCACAAACAACCAGAGTCAGGTGAAATAACAGGCACTCTAACATAATTAGAGCAAAGATCACACATTCAGAGACAAGAAATGGGGCATTTGTTCCACACCAAAAGATTATTTAAAATGTAAGGTATCTAAGGAATCAGCTAAGTTAAAAGAGAATCACTAGCAATTATTTCTGAGAACTCAAGGAGGATTGGTGAGGTTAGAAAAGGGTGACTATAGCTTTTAGCGGGCCCAGATTTCTCAAGTTCAAAAGCAGCTGTCATTTGGTCTTTTACACTGAAAGACTGAAAAGCAGCAATGGATGCTATAAGGGAAGGATTTTTTTTCCTCATTTAACAGTAGAGTGTTCATTTCATTTCATGATAGTATCGTTCATACCTACTGCCATTGTTGTCTCCAATTACTGTTACAAATTATGTTATTATCATCACTATAATTATCAACCTATCCCAAATGCTAAATCTACTTCCATTCCAATCCCTGAGATTTATAGCTACACCTATATGGCCCGTGTGCTTTCCTTAGGTTCCTTCAGGTCCCTGGGAGATTCTGGTGGCTAAAAGATTACAAACAACAGCAATACTGAATATTCTAAAGCACCGAACTCACATGTAGAAGTCGCTACTGGGAACTGGGGTAGCTGTCCAATGGTCTCATAGGTGGGGATGACACTAAGGTGCTATTGTGCTTTGTAAACAGACTTGCCCCTGATCATCTCACCCACCCTCATTTTACAGATGCAGATGAAGGCTTCAAGAGATGGTAAATGCCTTGAAAAGGGCCAGAGCTAGCAAGGCGAGTAACTTGAGCCCAGGTCTCAATTCTCAATGGTTCTTTCCTCTATAATGCAAACCTCTCACAAGAGTCCAAAGCTTGGTGACCACTCCGGTAAGTTATTCTCTTTTCCAAGGGTTCAGCAGTCATTAAGAAGTACAGCTGTCAACTCTTGGTTACCAAACAAGTGTACTTACAGTCTCACCCTGAGGGAACTGGTTAGTGAGCCGACCACATCCACTGCCCTATAGACTCAGGAGACCATAGGTTTCCCAATTACCAATTCATGTCCCTGACAGTGAGTTCTAATGATGGCTTGCTCTCCTTTTACAGAACCCTCCTAATTCTGCAAAATTATACTAGAATGCCATTTATCAAACAACCAATAACTGCCATTAATAATTAAGTCCCTTGGTTTGTTTCTAAGCACTTAAATTATGCTCCTTTTACCACCAGCAAAAACACTTAAATCCAATTTACACAAAAAAAAAATAATAAAATTATGGGGAGGTTAAGAAACAGGTTCACAATCACACAATAAATAAGCATGGGAACTGAGATTTTAGTCAGTTGGCCTGAGTCTGAAACTCATGCACTTCTAGCCACTAGGATGATTCCTCAATGTTTATACTATGGGGAACAGTCACCTGAGGCTTGTGTCAAAGAAAAGACTCAGATCCAGATCTGGGGTGGGCCTATCTGCTTTTCTAGCAAGCTCCAGGTGAGAAGATGCTGTAGGTTCAAGGAAGCCTCCAAGTAGCTGAGCATTATTACGGCCTGTTCTTTATGCACTTTCCTCCACGTCTTCTTACCAAATGTTTTAAACAGCCCTTCACCTCACAAAAGTCACAGGGCCTCCTCAAATCCTTCCCTTCTGCACTTGCCTTTGTCTCTACTCATGAAAACAGCTTCCAGATTAGCTCTGGGAATAAAGCCACCCGGCTCCACTGGACAAGGTGCCCTGGCCAAACAGCGATCTTTAACAAAGAGACCAGGTTCCCTGCCAGCCCTGCAAAGCATGCCAACCAAGATTCCCTCCTGATAATGCAAGGCTGCCTCTGCACCCTACGGCACCCCCATTCCCCCCTCCCACCCCCTCTCCCTCCAGTCCCTGCCTATAATCACTGAACCAGACTGCCGTCCAATCCTACGGGGCAAACCACATCCTCCTCTGTGACTAATCAACTGCCATCAAGCTCCTCTGTCCAGTGTCCACTGTGTGTGTTCAGCCATCCC